GCCAGAGACCTATATGGTTGGGGTATGGCATCTCAAATTTAAAATTGCTAATAAGAAGGAACTAAACTGACTATGCGACCACTGTCAACAGTTATAATGGCTCCTACAGTTGAAAGTACGGAGCGTATTCAGCGTTATATTGCGTCTCGAACCTTGGATATTCTGAATCATTGCCAGGCACGCTAATCACTATAGACCATGCCGGCCTTGTTATGTTGTTCTCCTTGTTAATTTTATCGCTTATTTATCTAATTTTATTTAACGTATATAAATATAATAGTTTGTATCTAATTTTATTTAACATATATAAACATAATAGTTTTATATCTAATTTTATTTAACATATATAAACATAATAGTTTGTATCTAATTTTATTTAACATATGTAAACATAATAGTTTTATATTTAATTTTATTTAACATATATAAACATAATAGTTTGTATCTAATTTTATTTAACATATATAAACAAAATAGTTTTATATCTAATTTTATTTAACATATGTAAACATAATAGTTTTATATCTAATTTTATTTAACATATATAAACATAATAGTTTGTATCTAATTTTATTCAACATATATAAACATAATAGTTTTATATCTAATTTTATTTACCATATATATAAGCATAATAGCTTTATATCTAATTTTATTTAACATATGTAAACATAATAGGTTCACATTTCAATAAGAGATAAAAACTAAAAATATCATTTTGCTTATAACAACCCCCTCTCTTCTAACTTGATAATCTCGAGTCGAATCCAAGATTGAACTGTTAGTGACAACAAAATACAATTTCTTACTATTATAAAATACTGTGGTTTTATTAATGTTAGAATGCTGTAACCGACAAAGTATGTTTTCCTTGCCCCCCCCCAGTGGCACAGCGGTATGTCTGCGGACTTACAACGCTAGAAACCGGGTTTCGATACCCGTGGTGGGCAGAGCACAGATAGCCCATTGTGTAGCTTTGTGCATAAATTCAAACAAACAAACGAACAAATGTTTTCCTTGCATTCCGAATAGCACGACATAGTAAGTCTAAATCGTATTAGGTCAAGGTTTTGAGAGTGGCTGTAAATCTTTAACTAGTAGCAGAAAAAAGTTTGATTTATTTTGATGAGAACAATAAGAAGACAAACATTGAACTATGAGGTCCACTAGTTCGTGCTTCATAACTCTAGAAAGTGTCCATATTTTCTGCACATCTCTATTTTAATTCCAGTTGAATATTGATTAACAACTTATTTTGTATTATTAAAGTCCAAATTGGTCAAAGTGTTTTTATTTCAAATTATGAGAAAAAGATTATAACAATGTAAATCTGGAATAAACTCGATATCATATAATTCCCATACAACATAAAATTCAACAAAACAAAACCAGTGTCCAGTTTCATAACACAAGGGTGGCCAACAGACGTCCCGTAAGTCGTATAGGAAGTACTTCGGTTGTTGCAACGTGACTTTTTAAAAGCTTCTAATTTCTACAAATATGTTTTAGAAATAAGTCTAAGTCGTATTAGGCCAAGGTTTTTAAGAGTTGCTGTAAACCTGTAATTAGCGGAACAAAGTCTGATTTACTTTCATGAGAATTTACTTGATATTTCATTCTTTCGGAACAGGATTGATTGTATCTTCAGATGAAATACGTTCTTATATGCTTAATAACTGAAATTGTATATACTCGAATATTCAGTTCAAGGTAACGTGTAAGTTGAGAAGTTTAGGTAACATAAGTGCTTTGGCATGTATTATTAGGTAAAACTAGAGCCTTTATTTAGAAAAAATCAAATACATATTATTCCTGTTATATGTAAGAACGTTATGGAAACTAACAAGTTATGGTATATGTGTATAAATATGTAGTTTTTAAAAATATTTTAGCTTGACTGAGATCAAATTTCAAAAACATATTTTTAAAAGTTTGCTTTAGGAGTGGAGTGAAAATATCAGTGCGGTATATGTCTTTGTATTATTACAAAAGAACCAAGCAAGTACATTTAAAAACAAAATAAATACAATGTATCAAAGATCAGAAACAAAAATCGTTGTTTCGTCTTTATTCTTCACATTAATATCTTAAGGTTTCCACACACAAGCATGATATTATATTTCATGTAAATACAGGATTGTTTTGTGACTTTGTTTCAAGAAAAACAGCTAACGTTCTTAATTAGTCTTTATCTCATTTTTTACCTTAGATTCTCTAATGAAAACTGTCTTATTTTTTGCTCACATACCTAAATCCCACTATAGATGAAATATTGTGGGTTGTTTATAACCAAGGACTAGCTTGGGGTTATAGAGTCACGCGCAAGGTAGATTTATATTTGAACAACTTATAATACTAACTAGTCTGGTTGTCATTCCCTGAAAATAGAGCAACGCGTAAAAACGTGTACTAGTAAGGTTTCTTCGCTGAAATGAATCACGCATGTTCTGTTCAAGATTTTGTGTCCAGTTGGCATGCTAGAAGTTTCTTTTCTACACTCAAATAAATATTGTATACTAGAAGGACGAAGAAAATTGAAATCGCCCTCTAACAGAAGTCGCATATTTGGTCCATTGAGATTTCTTTTCGAAGGTCCAACCAGGGAGATTAAAACTAATCACAAAGTTTCGGTTGAAAAGCATCCGAATGGGCAATATTATCAAGCGGGTGACAGTAGAGTTTGATGTTCCCGTCTTAATACAGACTATAATTACTATAAGCTACATATTTATCAATGCTTCAGTATGAGAGAAACTCCATCCAGCTCTTTCTTGAAAGTTTTAGAAGAGTGGTTCACTTATTCCTGGTAGAGAAGCGAGGATAAGAAAAACCATAACATCCAGCATTAAGCAGAAAGACATCCTTCGCATGGTAATGCAAGAACTATTAGAAAACATTCTCAAACTGATAAATTCAACAAGAATCGAAACTTCAAAAATCTCGATAAAAACAAACTGAGTGTTCAGCCTTTGACTTCAAATATCTCGATAAAAACAAACTGAGTGTTCAGCCTTTGACTTCAAAGATTTCGAGAAAGACAAACTGAGTGTTCAGCCTTTGACTTCAAAGATTTCGAGAAAGGCAAACTGAATGTTCAGCCTTTGACTTCAAAGATCTCGAGAAAGACAAACTGAATGTTCAGCCTTTGACTTCAAATATCTCGAGAAAGACAAACTGAATGTTCAGCCTTTGACTTCAAAGATCTCGAGAAAGACAAACTGAATGCTCAGCCTTTGACTTCAAAGAACTCGAGAAAGATAAACTGAATGCTCAGCCTTTGACTTCAAAGATCTCGAGAAAGACAAACTGAATGCTCAACGTTTGACTTCAAAGATCTCGAGAAAGACAAACTGAATGCTCAGCCTTTGACTTCAAAATGAACAGTCTCAATTATGATGATATGTGCTTGCCTAAGAATCCAAACAAACAGAAATGTGTTGTTCAGTGCAGGATTGTGAAGTTGATTTATTTGTTTCACTTAATTTTGCTCAAAGCTACTCGAAGGCTATCTACACTAGTCATTCCTAACTTTCAAGATATATGTAGACTAGCGGGAGGGTAAATAGTCAAAACATCCCACCGTTTTTGGGCTACTCTAATCAAATAGTGGGATGTGACCGTTACTCTTGTAATACACCCACGCATTCAAAAAAGGATCGTGATTTTTTTAATTTTAATGTGGCGGCAGTGTAGTGCGAACCATAGAACCTCAGATACACAATTTGGAACGTTAACCACTAGGACGCACTCAGCCCTATGATGGTAAAATAGCATATACTAGAAGTCTGCGATGAAAGAGCAGATGACTTGGCATCAATATTGCAAACGAGGCAGTGCTGGCAGCCTTCTTTTTCTCGTTTCTCTTCTGCATCTCCTGCTTCCAGCTTTCCTCATAAAAAAAATGCTTGTTTCCTACTCATTGCTTTGGATTCCATTTCAACTACCGATAAACATTCCATTGGAAATGCCTTGTGGCGCGTGAAGTAATTAATGCAAGCTGGAGCACGAATTTAAGCTAATCACACGTTCGTTTCTTACAGTTGAAATAATTTTACTGACAATTCCTCTTAATTTTAATTTATTTTTCTGGCAAAACGAAAACTCTCCCTAACATGGCACTCCGAAGTACAAGTTTCCAGACCAAAACAAGCAGCAGTCATCGTAGAGAACGTGGTACACATAAACCATGCTTTATAACTATAGTGATTATAGTATTTTAGCAAGTGTTCTCTATCACCATGTACAGACGTCTATCACTTCATACTATGTAATTTGCTTGGATACACCTACATAAATATTCAAATTTCTCCTGGTAACGTCATTAAAATGTAGAGATTAATGTTTTTATTCCGTTTTCTTTTTACCACAACAACAGTTTATCGATACATAACTATTTGCAACCAAATGTTTTAAAATAGCAAAGAAAAAAAATCAACCATACCAACTGGACACCCGTCAGAATCTTGACTGGGGTTCAAAAGGGAAGCCATTACAGCAAAATAAACAAATATGAACTATATGATATTAATAATCAATAAAATTCACAATCACAAATATTTATATATCTTTATATCTATGACAATTATGATAACTTTTTATTTTACTTTGTTTTTGTGACCTGTTTTAACAATACTTGGTATAGCAAGGTGTAATTTTTTTTAGTTACAGCGGTATGTATAACGTTTCAATATCCGTGGTGGGCAGAGCACAGATAGCCCAATGTGTAGCTTTGTGCTTAATTACAAACAAACTAAGTTTTATATTAATTATGCTATATTAATAGGATAAAGCATAATATTATAGACAAAAATCGAGTTATATCTTTAAGGTTCCTAATTTTTCTGGAGCTATGTTACCTCTCATTATACTTGAGTGCGTTTAGAAATAGTTTTTTTTATTGCTTTCGTCCGATATGCTTATCTATAGGGAACAAGACAACTGATAACCCATTTCCTCAAATCTGTATGCCAAAGAAACTAATAATTGCTTATTGTTTATAGGAAACTCGATCATCTGCCAAGGTGACCTTGATTTTTTCCTTATCCAATGTGAACACAGTCACTCTCAATGGTTCTCACGTGAGTTAGTCGACTGTCCTCTACTAGTAATCGTTTAAAGTTACTGCTGGAGTTTTCAAGACAATAGATTCAGTATCAAGTAACTTTATGTTAATGTGAAAACTAGTTTCTCAAGATTCGTTGATATCGCATAAGAAGAGCTATAAAACGAAACGATAGAATCAAGGATCAGGTTATGCTAGAGGTAACGTTAAGTCTGTGGTGATAGTGTCTTCCTGTTCTTCAGTACATAATCCAAAATGTATGACTATGACAGTCCTACTTAGTTTTTGTGTTAGCAATTAAGAGTTATTTAGAATATTAAGAACACTTACAGAACATACTTTATATGAAATGCACCTAATAGATTCTTAATGAGTTTAAAACATAAGTGTCGTTCAAGTGAAGATTTCCTTTTTGTTGAAAGATTGAGAATAATAGTATTATCTGTTTTAATTGAGCCTGATTAAGATAGAATTAGATTAACCTATTCATACTCAATAAATATAATCTAATATATAAGTAGGTTTCTAGCTATGAACATTTTATTCTTGAGAAATATATATTCTAAAAGAGTTAGTCTCTCTCAGTATATATACATAATTTAACTTAATTTTAAATTGTAATTTAAAGAGGTTAATTCAAATCTTTCTTTCATATGTTTCCAGTTATTCCATATAACCCGTTTTCTGAAGCAACTACAGCTCTGTCGAAGTTCTGAAGAACACGGAATCAGATGGGTCGAGAAGATTATGAGCGTCGTTTGACCATTTTCTTCAGTGAAAAATTAGGTAAATATCTTACTTTTTTAAGGAATCTGTGCCATCTTAACTCTACTAAAATTAGGTAAATATCTTACTTTTTTAAGGAATCTGTGCCATCTTAACTCTACTAAAATTAGGTAAATATCTTACTTTTTTAAGGAATCTGTGCCATCTTAACTCTACTTTTTGGATATTGAATATGCGTATCAGTTAATTTTCTTTTGAATAATTCATATCCAGTTTCACAGTTTGTGTCATGATAATTTTGTTGGCGCAATGTTTTATAGACATAATTTAAACAATTCCAACACAAAGTAAAAGTAAATCACAATGTCATGTTTACAGAAGAAGATGTGATCCGTTAATTATAAATTTTGTGATTTATGCATTATTTGAGTTGTCAACTGCAACAAATTAATATTATATATATATATTCTTAAACTTTTATACTAAGCAAATCGATCACTGTAAATTGTATCAACAGAAATGGTCTTCTTATCTACAATTTTAGTGGGCTTTGTAATTTAACTACGTTAATTAAGTTAACGTTTTTAATTCTGTATATAAAGTAATAATGTTTAGGACTGTACACGATGAAAGCCTTGAACAGTTGCTGAATTCAATTACTTGTCCAATAAAATATTAAGGTTATTTGTTTATACCAATTAACTATTACCTTAAAATATATATTATACTAAATCTCGTTGTATTATTCACGGTTCTTTAATTTTATCAAAAACTTAAAGTGTTTTCGTTTTAAAATACATTAAAACAGTAATCATTTATATTGAAATTTATGTCTTAGTTTTTGCTTAAAGTGAAAAAGTAATATTGTTTACAGACAGACTCAGTTCATGTAATACTCCATTTCATGCATGCTTCTCTGTTCTCAGTTAATAGATGAGTCAATTTGTAAACGTTCTTTCACTAAATACGAACATAGTTGAACTGGATTTAGCACTTATAAATAGTATTTTTTTCAGCTTGAATGAATGATTGTTTTAAATGATTCAGTCTTGAAATTACTTTCCTGGTAACACACATTGAATCATCCAATAAAGTATTAGATTAATAGAAACATTTTTTTTTATTGGTAGTGAAACAAAAGAGCAAACATGTCTACTGCGTGTGTATCTTCAATGTAATAATTACGTTATTAGCGACTTAGCATACTTGAATGCATGTAGTCACGTGAAAATATCTAAAACGCCAGTCTTATTGTCTTCTAACTAATGCAATATTTCAAAGAGATCGGGTTACTTGATCTAGAAGGACTTATTACGTAATATAGAAATTTGATGGTCTTCCTTGCAGATAAATCACACACATGAAAGGTAAAACAGCAGAACACTGGTTGGTATCAATTCCACGTGAAACGAGTATTGTTTACTCGTTGCCAAAATTTTAAATAGTAATTTCAATTCTGTAGAATTAAACCAGTGATAGTCAGAGATTGTTCCTATCGATGTTCGAAATGAATTGTTTGTACTCGTATAATTAAAAATAAACTAGTTATTTAAAGAAAGAAAACCTGAATATAGATATTAAACAAATAAACACTTTTCATTCTCAATTTAATACAGCTTACATATTTATAAGTTCGTATGTATATATTTTTCTAATTTTCGTATCAGGATTTCACGAGAAAATGTTCATTGTTTTATATATACTAAGAAATAGACGACCCTTCATGAAACTTTTACTTCAGCAGTAGATGCTACAACCGCATGAAATTACACAAAGTATTTCAGCTGACTCCTTTACTTCCGTGAGCACACACAAATAACACCTTAAATATATCATGCTGTTACACGCATGCTAAACTATTTTCACATATTTAGTTGTTGTTGGAATGCCACTGCTTCTGCTTCGCACAAAAGGGTATAACTTCTTTACCTTTTGGTAAAAATCATATAATATAGACTTTATTGTCAAGAAATTCTCTCATGTTTATTTAGTTTTAAAACACGGAATGGCATTGATTCTTTAATGTTCTGTAACACCTGACGAAGGATTATTCACCAGTCCAGAAACTTGTACACTTATATTTCTCATGTACGTCGTACATTAATAAGTTAACGACACTTCATAGTTTTCCTTCTGTTTTCTCTTTCTCCCATCGAGAGATGGGACGATAACACGGACGGTCAGGAATAAACGTTAATGATTTTTTTGTTGTTGAACACAAGTGGACTGTTTTTGCTGTGCCCACCACGGGTATCGAAACAAATTGGTAGCGTTATAAGCCCTCAGACTTCCCGCTGAGCCACGGGGAGGCATTAACTTTAGAAATTACTCCCTAACTCGGATCTAGCTCTAGAATTACGTAGGAATAAAGACAGCTTAGAAACCGAAAAGTAGACTACAATAAGTTATATTTTTTTTTTAATATTTTCCTACACTTGTGTCTCATGTAAATTTGTATAAAACTAAAAAAGCATTTCGATATAAAAAATATTATTGAACATTTTGCATTTATAAAAGCAATTTATTAAAAACCAAACCAACAGGTAAATGATTACTAAATTACTGAGAAAATTAAATACTTTTTAAACATTTAAACTGCAGCAAAAAAACTAATAAGTAGTAAAAATTTTGTATCATTGTGGTACATGCACGAACCATGTGCCATGTTTCTATTTTAACATACAAATAATCGAAATATTTCTTTTTTTCTAAATCTGCCAATGCTTTGCAAGCAGTTGTCCCACTTGATGGAATTTTAATACCGATATCCCTTGACTGACAAAAAAAAGATAAAAGTCATATTTTGTAAATAAAAAGCACATATTAATATAGATTATCCAGTCTTATCAAGGTTAGTTTTTTAAGCTGCAATGTAAAGATTATAACTATAGTTATGTAGATCAGCACCACACATTCTCTTCATAAAGTAATCGTTAGATCCTATAAGTGAAATGTACCGATCATCCTTTTTCCTTTTATGTCAAGAAAATTTCTAACCTTTACAAGGAATTATTTTAATTTTAATTAATGTATACAATTAATTAGTGATGTTGATACAATATTTATTTTCTCAGAAATTCAGAAATAATACGAACAACAGCTCAAAGATAAAAACATAGACAAAGTTATAGTGGTACAACCTGGATAATACAGATCCATAAAATAATATAAGACATCATAACGTTTTTTTTCTATGAAATGCGTTTAGTTGCTTATAAATCGACCTCCCTAGGCGACCGTTTGTTTCCTTTATACTGACATCCGGTTCTGGACGTAACGGAGATTACCTCAGACTACAATAGGCCTGTGTTAATAATTCAGCTTTGGTTAGTAGTGGTTTCAAAAGAATAATACGCAAGTTGCCATGGTTTCTTCATAAGCTAAAAAAAAAGAGTAGGAATGATTTTATGTACCTCTATATTTGTTTGTTTCATATATATTTTGTCCCCGAGTTGGACTAGAGGGAAGTAAGCTAGTTAGTAGCACCCACCGCCGACTCGTGGGTTACTCTTTCTGACCGGATAGTGGAAAATTGACCGACATTTTTATAATCCACCTAACCAAATTGCGAGGCATGTTTTTGCAGCATAAGGCCGCGATCTATAAACCCTCGGATTCAAAGTTCAAGTACGCTAACCACCCGGCCGTAAAATTAAGTCTTTATTTTTTGGAAAACATTCCTGTTGTGTTATTTGAAAACAAAATCATCACTTGTTTATCGAGGTGATTATTGTAACACAAATCTTCTTTTGTGTCTAGACATCGTTTTTTTAAATATAATCAATTCTAACCGTGTTGTTTTACAGACGAAAGCTAAATCGGCTGTGCCAGTTATTTTGACGGAAACATCGATTCTCAAGTCTGTAACTAGAAGGTTAAATCTAAACATATGGTAATATCGAACATGTAGATTGTATTTTTCTATGGTGTTCACTTTGTCGGTACTTTAATATATTTTGCAGAAAAAACATTCTTAAAGAAAATTAAGACCTTATCGTCAACTTTATATGCCTACGTATAAAGTAACAAAACGCCAAAGCTGGACAAACTCTTTCCAGTGAGCCATACCTAAATCTTTTTTGTAATCATACTCCTGCTCATTTTTGCTTTCTCTTGAAATCAAATTTTACAAGTAAATGCTAAGATTATTATTTCTTCAACTATAGCTCTATTACATCAAATTAATATAAGTCCTGATTTTTCCAAGCCCGTTCCCTTGGCTGTGGTTTCGCTAGATAGTAGATAGGGACAGTGGGAATCTCGTTAGTCCATTCATATTATAATAATATAATAATAATTAATATAATATTAATTATAGCCTATTATGCATTTAAAACTTAACAAAACTTTTTCCATGGACAGTCTTTGTAAATAAACTTTAAAAAAAGTTATGTGAATGACATTACTTAATTGATTAATCAAATTATTGTGTTTTGTGGTCTGAAAGAAGAAATAATATAAAGGTGTGAATGTTTACTAACGTTGGATTAAACAAGTAAATTTGGATTTAAACCGGACAATAACGTCTGTGATATTTCTATGTATTTCCTGAAGAAGTAGAAGCTGGAACCTGGCTGACTCGAAATAGTGACACTGCTAACTTCAGTCATCTAAGTTGACACATCTTGAAAACTAGATACAACCCTCGAAATCACGTGACACAATTTTGGAACAATGTTGAACTATGTTCCGTACCTAATAACCAACAAAACAGGGGTCATGCATTCAATATGCAGTATCTTAATTGGTCAGGGCATCTGCAAGGAAGGTAAAGTCGCGGTTTCGAATCCAACAAACTTCACGAGATAGGATTGCCATACTCAAACCTTTTGTGTTTCAAACGTTTAAGCTTATGCCATTGTTATACATTTTTACCACTATGGCAGAGAGAAAATAGTGTATAAATTCATTTTTTTTTCTAAAGAAATTTTAATAGTACACAAATCTTTTCTTACTTCGTTCTTTATTAGATGCTGATAAAAATGGCTATATCTCTTGGGCGGATTATGAATTGTTGGCATTGGTAAGTTTCAAACTCAACTTTGATGTTCATGTTTAATTTATATTTAGATAATTTTATTTACAAGCTTTAATAATACTGTATCGTTCAGCATGTCCACTTGTTGATCCTTAGAAAATTACCAAATGCTTAATCCTACATCTTTTTGTCCTTAAATAGTTAGTTATTAATTCTATTTCTATACAAAATAAGAGATTATTAAGTTTACTGTTATTATATTTGTAACAATTCAAGATCATTAAATCTTATCTCTGTTTGTGATCAAAGTTATTTTTTAGTCCAAAGGACGACTGTTGGGGCACCTTAGATACTAATACATCATCGGTAATTCTCGATCAGATTCTACCTGTTGCCCATCCATCTCCTCTCCAGCTAGCCGTCCCTAATTTTAAAGTGATAGACTTGAGGAAAGGCAGTTAGTCAACGCCACTCGCCACAAACGCTTGGGATACTCTTTTAACAAAGAATAGTGGGATTGACCAATACAATATAATGCCTCCACGGTTTCAAGGGCAAGCATATTCGGTGAGAGGGATTCGAGCGGTCTAACCAACAGGCGAAAACATGTTAGGGTATTAAATAGACGGTGATTTATCTATGAAATATCGTTAAATCTATGCTTCTTTTTATCTATAAAATACAGTATCGTTAAATATATGCTTCTTTATATCTTTAACATACAGTATCGTTGAATCTATTTTTCTGTTTATCTATAAAATACAGTATCGTTGAATCTATGCTTCTGTTTATCTATAAAATACAGTATCGTTGAATCTATGCTTCTGTTTATCTATAAAATACAGTATCGTTGAATCTATGCTTCTGTTTATCTATAAAATACAGTATCGTTGAATCTATGCTTCTGTTTATCTATAAAATACAGTATCGTTGAATCTATGCTTCTGTTTATCTATAAAATACAGTATCGTTGAATATATGCTTCTGTTTATCTATAAAATACAGTATCGTTGAATCTATGCTTCTGTTTATCTATAAAATACAGTATCGTTGAATCTATACATTAATTTATCTATCGTATTTCTTTCAAACTGTACCGACTCCTCGACAGTGCAGCAGTAGGCTTGGTAGCTTCTAAGCTAAAATTTGTTGTTCAGTCCTTGTTGTGGACACAGCACAGCTAGCCGTTGTACGGCTTTGGGCTTTACCACAAACAAACAAACTACACAGTGGTTCTTCGATGATTTATAGATATTATTATTTCAAGCATAACTTCGTCATATCTGAGATTTTATTTCGTTCATATAAGGATATTGCAGGTATATTATGGAATTCAGAATATCTTATATTATATATCAAATGATGCTTTCAAATTCTTTCTTTCGATGTTACCTCACTGAATGATTCCAGTTATCCATTCACCAAAACCTGTGAAGTCGCATACGAGATATCAGTTATCTATTAGCCAAAATCTGTGAAGTCGCATATGAGCTGAATAATATCAGTTATCTATTTGCCAAAAACCTGTGAAGTCGCCTAGGAGCTGAATAATATCAGTTATCTATTTGCCAAAACCTGTGAAGTCGCATAGGAACTGAATAATATCAGTTATCTATTAGCCAAAATCTGTGAAGTCGCATATGAGCTGAATAATATCAGTTATCTATTTGCCAAAACCTGTGAAGTCGCCTAGGAGCTGAATAATATCAGTTATCTATTTGCCAAAACCTGTGAAGTCGCATAGACTTTTTCTTGCTGAGCTTTGCATATTTACGAAAGTTTTAATTGTTGTCTCCTTTCTTCATGTTTATAGAGGACTACTTTTCAACAAAACAGTGGCAAATACGACGAAGGGATCCATGAAAAGTATCTAACACATAGCCGGAAAATGTGGGAAAGTTTGTGCTCTGACATAGGAGGAGACACTGTAAGATCGCCTTGTCCTACTGATTTGTTATCTATATCACTTAGAGGGTAACATGTTATTAACGTCTGCTTGTTCTCATGCTAGATATTTACTGAACATTTAGTAAAAAAATAAAAGTAAAACAGAAAATAACATCATTTTGGCCCAGATAATGTCCTTAAGGATTTTTTTATTCTAACCAAGTAGTAAAAATACAATCTAAAACCAAAATAAAATATGTTACGCCACGTTTCTAGATCAATAATAAATATAATGTGTAGAGATTTTATGCCTTAATTAAGAAAAGAAAAAAATGTCAATCCTTACGATATCCGCTGTTATTTGAACGAAAATCATAACATCACTCTGACTTGTATGAGAAGTTACTCCCAAGAGAAATACAAATGTTATGCTAGTTCAGCTTTTGAAACTTCTGACAAACGTTTGGATTCTTAGTGAGTTTTTTTTATACTTTTACCAGACAAATACACACGTCTAAGAAAATTTGTAACTTCCTAATCACTAGACCCTCGTAAAAAATATCCGCAAAATTAACCTTTTTATTTAAATACTTTAAAAATCAATGCATATAATTGTTTGGTTTGTTTTGAATTTCGCGCAAAGCTACACGAGGGTTATCTGCGCTAGCCGTCCTTAATGTACCAGTGTAAGACTAGAGGGAAGGCAGCTAGTCATCACCACCCACCACCAACTCTTGGGCTACTCTTTTACCAACGAATAGTGGGATTGACCGTCACATTATAACGCCCCCACGGCTGAAAGGGCGAACATGTTTGGTGGGACGGGGATTCAGATTGCGAGTCGAGCGCCCTAACCACATGGCCATCCCGGGCCTATGCATGTTATCTTGATATAGAAATACTATACTTTAAGTTCACAGATTTGATTATGAACGTTTCATTCTGGGTGAAAACAATCTTATTCCAGATTCTAGGAAAAAAAATAGGGAATCTTAAGAGCAAAGAGAAAATTGCCTTAATGGAAAGACTACCTTAACGCCCCCAGTGGCAGAGCGGTATGTTTGCGGACTTACAACGCTAGAATCTTGGTTTCGATACCCGTGGTGGGCAGAGACCAGATAGCCCATTATGTAGCTTTATGCTTAATTAGAAACAAACAAAAATTTCCTACCTTATATATTTACCATAATTATGAAATTAAGACGTAAGTGGCACAAGTTATAAATATTCCATAATATAAATATGTAATTTTAGAGTAGCATTTTGGTTAATAAAGTTAAATATATTTTTCTAAAAATATAAATGCCTATAGAACTTATATTTAACTACAACAATGATTTATATATATATTTCTCTTTTTTTTTCTGACTACTAGGAAGGGCAGGTTCAATTCACTGACCTTGTGAATTTCATGTTTGTTTTGACTAGCAAAACGCAGAAATTCGAGGAATTGCCTGACTTTCTGCAAAACTTGGCTACTGAAGTTTTTTACATGGTAGACAAAAATGGTAACTACTTTAAATTACTTGTTTTGTTTACCAGAAGTTTATGTCAAAATAAATCATTTCTACCTGGTAAAAGATAGATATATATTTTTTCAAATTACAGTAAGGAACCTTTCTTAAAACGAAACTAGACATTCGTTCTTTCGTTCTTTATCGGAAACTTTTTGTAAAAATACACAGTACAATTACTTTTCCTTCATTTCAATATTTACATAGACAGCTACAAAGGAATTTAACTAAAACTAGTAGACAAAGTTTGAGAAATCAATTGTTGAATAGAGTGTATCATACGGAATAAAGAGTAACATTTAAAATCTTTAAGTGATCTGTTTTAGAATATCTCAAATAAAAATAACTAAATATTGAAGACTGTAAATTATATAGTTTCTCTTTGGGTTGTAGACAATTTGCATATTTCAATTAAAATATTCAAATGAAAAGAAACGAAGAAAAAGGGAAAGTCATATATTTCTTTTTATCTTTTGATCAGTTATTAAGTATTAAAATAGGCTTAAACAATATAAATTATAATGGTATTTATTGCCAAATACTGTTACTGCCGAACATCAACAAAATATATACGTAAGTTTATTTCGAAACATAAGTAAAGAAACCTCTCTCTGTCAACTCTACATATCAGTAAAAAAAGAACGTTTTCTCTTTGAGCTTCTAGAACTCAGTAAAATAAATGATTTTGGGTAGCTTCAGAAACTCAATAAAAGAAAGTTTTCTACAAAAACCTTATGAACTTAATGAAAAAATGTTCCTTCTTAACGCCTTGTACTCGTTAAAATAAAGTATTCTATATACATTTCCAAAACATTGCAAGAACAGAGACTTCTCTGTTAATACCTAGAGCTCAGTCAGTAGAAAAAGGTATTTATCAAATTCCAAGGCATAGTAACAACAAAATAGTTTTTTATTTCTCTATCTGAAACTAAATAAGAGTTTTCTCTCTTGCCTTTTCAAACTGACTAAAATAAACTTTCTTCTTTGCTTATAGAACTCGATAAAAAGAGTTATTCTTATTAATTTTCACAAGTAGGCAAAAAATGTTTTTCTTAAACATTTCTAGAACACGTTGAATAAAGTTATTCTTTTCCACCACCTTTCAAATTTGTTAAATCTGTTGGTGTGACCCCTAGAGGTTGTTAAATCTGTTGGTGTGATCCCTAGAAGTTGTTAAATCTGTTGGTATAACCCCTAGAAGTTGTTAAATGTGTTCGTGTGACGCAGAGAACCTGTTAAATGTGTTTCCGTCACCACAGAACTTGTTAAATGTTGCTATAGCTCGTAGTACTTCATAAATGTGTTGCTGTGATCCCTTAGAACTTGTTAAATGTGTTGCTGTCACCACAGAACTTGTTAAATGTGTTGCTTTGAATTTCCAGAACTCGTTTAACAGTTTACTTCAGCTTATAACTTAATAAATATACACTTTTCGCTACCGACCTCAAGGTGACAATATGTGGGACAAAGAAGAATACCGCTTTGGTTCTGTTCTGTGGTGTTACGTCACAAGTTTGAAAGGGATTGATGACGCCTTCAACTCAATGCTGAATGTGAGTTGCACACTTCATGTCTAAGACGGTTTATTATTTAAAATAAAAGTTATAAATGAAATAACATATAATGATGAAAATTAAAAGAACATTTTCAATATTTTAAAAGTTAAGTTCTGAAAATCCATCTTATGAATTATACCATTCAAATAAGCTTAGGTAGCGAATTCGACGTTTAAGTTAATCTTTGACGTCTCAAAAGGCACATACGACTGGTGCATAACTCCGTTTTCCTGTTTCACAAAAGAGTGAAAATTGTAACACATTCCTCCTGGATAGGATGTCATTCCATCACAGGTTAACTCTTAGATACATGCTGGTGCTTATACAGCTACGTAGATGGAAGCACCCAGCTAAGTAGAGTGCCTTACTCAGGTGAACAACATGTGAGTAAGCCTCGAACCTTCAACCTTTCGACTATGAGTCCAAATCACTAACCTCTAAAACATGCTGTTCCTCCTCAACATGTGAAGTGTATTTTAAAGATGATTCAAAATAAGAGTTTTATAGAAACAACATATAAAAGAGTGAACCTTTGAATCGAGCTCATTAACACTTGTCTTGTGCATAATATATTAAATACACATAGAATATATTACGTAAAATAATTTATTTAATATGTTTTATAAGTTGTACAACAACTGGAATATGCTAACTTTCAAAGCGCCTATAGCTTTATTTTGTAATAAAATATACAACTATTTTACAGGAAGAAGATAAACAACGGGGAGGCCTATCAATTGATCGCTTTAAGAAATTGGTCACAGAATTCTTTACTTCTTTGGAAGCTGATACTCCATGCCGAAATATCTTTGGACCCCTGGACCCCAGTCGAGCGGACAAAATGTTAACTCGAGATGTATCCAAGTAAAAGCTGCACATTATGGTATCGTGCCAGCTTTGGAATACTCAAACGTATATTATCTATTGGTTTTCGTAGATATCTTTTAGGATATTAGACTGAGATGATTAAAAGGTTTTTCGTTCTACTCAAGGAGCTACATAAGAAACATGAACGTGCTTAAATTTATTCCCTGTAGCTTTATTTACAAGTAGTGTTGTATTACTCTTTCACATTTTGTTTTGAAAAACAATATTTTATATTTTAGTTCTGAGCTAAGATGAAAAATATAATGGCAATAGTCTAAGTAAATGTTTCGTAACGTCGTGTGAAAAGCAAGGAAGGTTTCGTATGAATAGGAAATATTTTCTCACATTACACACAAACAAGAGATTGCTATAAATTGTAATATGATTCTTTCTTTAAATAGGAAATTATACGAATAATGTATCATAATTTCGGTTTAAAGGTATAAAATACATTATTTCGAATAATATGTGTGTTCTTATTTTACAACTGTTGTATGCTTAAGTTTAAATAGGACACGCTTTTTCTCTTATAACGTTTATCACCATGAAACAAACATCTTTCGGTTCTACATATGTTTTAGCTAAAGTTCTCATTTGTTTCTTAAATTGCGTGAGTTAATAAAGCCATGCCATTCCAACCTATAATCTTTCTTTGTTTTTGTTTCTTGTCGTTAACTGTAATGTATAGCATTTCTACTCGTATTTAAGTAGGCAGAACGTTATGTTTTCTTCTTTCAAGACGTAATTTCATCGCTCAGAGAATGCGCAATAGAATCTCCATGGCTTGCTTCCAAATGTTAAGCCTGGCTCTTATTTAACGACATTAGTCCATTAACTGTAAACCATTTACTCATACAAACTAGGAGCAATAGATTGAAGAGCTTAAGCATTTTATGATTTCAAAAAATCAGAATTAGAAATACAGTTTGTATAATATTTCAAACTTCTCATTTGTGAGCTTTCCTATAACCTAAAACATGTCTAAGATATAAAGACACTCAGTTTTGTTAATTTCACTATTCAGTTCCTCCTTTGAAGCTATTCAGAAAACATTTACGAGATACACAAGACAATACATAAATCTAGGAGACAGCTATAGCTATAAGTAGGTAGGTAAGACACGTTTGTTGTAGAGAGTTTCTCCCTAAGAGTTTTATATACACTCACGCCAATTCATCTAACAGTGTTGGCTATTGTAAAAACTCCTCTACAGAATGTGATATTCTGTAAAATTCATTTCCGAGATTCTTCTCTACACACGTTCAATTCATGTGAAGAAGTCAGCTGTTGAACGGAATTCGTCTTTAAAATTGTTTTCTAAACACGCTAGATTCATCTAAGAGTGTCGGCTGTTGTACAAAACTATTCTACAAGATTGTTTTCTTGACAAGTTCGATTCATGTGAGGATGTCAAATGCTGTACAAAACTAGTCCCCAAGATTCTTCTCTAAACATACTCGATTCATGTGAGGGTACCAGCTGTTGTACAGAATGCCTCTCCAAGATTATTTTCTAGACACGTTGAATTCGTATAAGGATGTCAATTGTTGTACAAAACTAGTCCCCAAGATTCTTCTCTAAACATATTCGATTCGTGTGGTAGTGTCAGCTGTTGTATAAAGTTCGTCTTCACAATTGTTCTGTTAACACACTAGATTCATATGAGAGTATCAACTGTTCTAAATAATTCGTCTCCAAAACGTTTCTCTAAACTCGTTTAATTCATCTGATTCTGTCAGCTGTTTTATAAAACTCCTCTTCTTTACTGTTCTCCAGACACTTTTGACTCATGTGAGGATGTCAGTTATTTGTATAAAATTTGTCTCTAAGATTCTTCTCTAGACACGTTCAATTCCTGAAAGGGTGTCACCATTTGTATAAAATTCGTCTCCAAGATTCTTCCCTAGACACGTTCAATTCCTGAAAGGGTGTCAGCAGTTGTATAAAATTAGTCTCCAAGATTCTTCCTTAGACACGTTCAATTCCTGAAAGGGTGTTAGCAGCTGTATAAAATTCGTCTCCAAGATTCTTCCCTAGACACGTTCCATTACTGAAAGGGTGTCAGCAGTTGTATAAAATTCGTCTCAAAGATTCTTCCCTAGACACGTTCCATTACTGAAAGGGTGTCAGCAGTTGTATAAAATTCGTCTCCAAGATTCTTCCCGAGACACGTTCAATTCCTGAAAGGGTGTCAGCAGTTGCATAATATTCGTCTCCAAGATTCTTCCTTAGACACGTTCAATTCCTGAAAGTGTGTCAGCTGTTGTATAAAATTCGTCTCCAAGATTTTTCCCTAGACATATTTATTTCATTTGAAGCTGTCAGCTGCTGTACAAAATTCCTCTCCATTGCTGTTCTCTAGAGACGTTTGATTCATGTGAGGGTGTCAGCTGTGGTACAGAACTCATTTCCAAGATTTATCCCTAGACGTGTTCGAGTCACGTGTGGGCATCAGCTATTTTTCAACTTCATTAACTTCTTTCTCGAGTAATTCTTGATTGTTAGTAGTTCTCCACGTCATGTCTCTGTAGATATTATCCAGATACAATAGAGTGTGAATTTTCATTGATTATCACCCCCTACTTTCATATTTTTAGCTAAAACCCCTACTTTATTCTTACTATTTGTACAGCAAAAGAAGCTGAATAACCGTGGGGTAAAGTCTCGTGTATAGTTTCAATCATTAAAAATGTAATTAGAAACATTAATGAAGCTGAAATAGTATATCACCTTCAATAAATAATATACTAAATATATCTTACTTTACAGATGGAAGATGTATATAACTGGTACGTATAAGTAATACAAAGTACGTCACTTGGAAACACATTTACTTATTAAAATTAACCTAAAATATATAATGTGATTAATCTTACAGATGTCAACATGCAGGATCTTTTTTTTCTTTGGTATCGTTAATATTTTTTCATCTATCACCATGAAAGTTACTCCTTAATAATTTCAGTTTACTACAGCAAATAACTGATAATCAATTAATTATACAAAAATGAAAACGGTGTATAATATTTATGTCAAGAGTTTTTTTTTTTTTTACATTTCTCGTTATTATTATGAATAAATGTGTCTGTTATTGTATACATTAATACACTGATAAATATTGCACTCAATCCATGATATAGGATTATTTTTCTAAGATATATTATGATACAGTGGTAAGTGATTTGCAACTTGAAAAATTTATAAAGGAGATAGTGAAAATTTTTTCATCATCTTAGGTAAAAATTAGGTACAAAAATTTTCACACAGTTAATTGCATTATTTAATACAACTTTATTTGTCTTTATAGAATAACCACAATATTGGTAAACAAAAAAAAATTTAAATAAAATGTATAACATATTATTGAACGAGTGATTTACCTAGACTTTGGCATATTTTACTCGCCTATTTCTTTTCGAAATTCTACTTCAAGGGAACGTTGGAAATTTTCCGATGGCTCAGAATATCTCGTAAACAACAGAAACTTTCTTGTTCTCTGTCTAGACACAAAATGTCTCCCAGAAAGTATAGACTGAATCATATCCAATGATTTTGATACAGTCTCTTGCACAGTTCGTTTTTTCTGGGGGTATGAAGCACAGCAATGAGGTACGAGAAGTGACGGTGGTGGGGCAAACAAAGAATACATTGTTGGAGACACGTTTCTTAAGTGTTGATTCTGTTGAGCTGAAGGTTTGTTCTTTTCCGTTTTCTCGGAGCAAGGTTTTCCAGATTCATTATTGCTTTGAATGGAATCCAACTCCAGATAATATATAGGTAGACATCCGAAGTGTCCTAAAGACATCAGTTTCAATATGCCCTGATAGCACTTCATTTTCCAGGGTATTTTCCTTCTGAGTTTTGTTTTTTTCTTATTATAAAGTGCTTGCATTTGCAAAACTTCACTATCGATCCATTCTGTAACGGAACATAAAAGTATTATGAATAAGAATCGGGTAAGAAACATAAGCTATTCTACTCTCAAATAAATTATGGGATTAGAAAATATCTAAGAGAAAAGATGAGATCTTAATAACATGTGGACAGTAATATTTACCTCTAAACCAAATAAATGCATTCAACAAATAAAGAGCTTAAACTTATGAAAAATGATTGTAGTTAAACGACAACCTTCTAAGGTCCATCATTGTTATAAATAATCCATACCTAAATTATGTGAACATCCCTCATATAAAAATTGTGTATCGTTCCCATACAACAGCTTTCATCTTATCTATATGGTCGTCTTATTCGACGAGTTTATCGAAATTGTGCAAACGCCACTTCCCTATGGTTCCCGTTCTGCGTAAGCCTAACCATTTCATCGATTTTTACCCCAATTACGTTTTTAATGACCTTAGAAGAAACCATTATTTGATCATTTCCATGTCCATACTGTGTCTGTCATTTCACAAAAATCACAAACAATTCCCTTCCAAGTCCCAATGATCTCGAAACTTGGCCCTTCGGGACAGATGATAATGGAGTAATAATGCTTGGAGACGGCTTGAATGGGTAATGAAGAAAAACTTTATATATCAAAGTTTTTCTTCATTACCCAATCAAGCCGTCTCCAAGCATTATTAGTCTCAGAGTGGGTTCATCGTCATCGAATTCGAAGATGATAATGGAGACTCTGTGAATGCTGTCATTCTTTTAGTACTTAGTAGATGTTGTTGTCATGAGACATACAAGGCTTTGCAAAGAAAATACGTGTAACATCCATCTAGCTTCCTCTGTAGTTTATTAATAACCATCCATTCCTCAGTCCCTTGGAACAATAAAACTTTACAACTACACTTGAGATCCCAAGATAAATTTGACTTCCACATATTTTACAAATTATTACATGGTGACCACGCTTGATAGATTCCAAATTTGAAGTCATTCTCTTTATTGCCCAGCTAGTCACCAGGGTATTAAAATCCTTCTTTGGTGTCCCAGGAAAGATTTGATTTCCACATATTTTACAAATTATTAAATGCTGACCACACTTGATCAGTTACAGGTTTGATGTCCTTCTTGTCATTGACCAGCCAGCCACCTAGTTATTAAAATTCTGTACTTTTCAATTGTATGACCACTGCTTGCCTTTGATTTGTGCCTCTGATATTAAAATGCTCACATTAGCGGTGTCAAATTTAGAAACGCAACGTTTTAGTGTTAAAGAAAAAACCAACTGCTTGCAGGCACAACTGAGAACAATACGAGTCTTAAGTTGTATTAGGAAATACTTTAAAGAGAAAAAGTTTTAATTATCACGGAGAAAAAAATATGATTTGATATATTTATAATTGGTGAAGCACCAATCACACTAACTAGGCGAAACTCTAAACAGACTACAAAATGCGCATGAAGAACGTGATGAACCAATGAATTAAAACCTACAAGGCGTTACAAAAGTTGAGCATCACCAAGATTGTTCTAAGAACTACCTTTACAGCTACGGTTTAAACGCTGAAAGTTGGCGAAGTCTTATAAACCAACAGGCCTAACATTTGTGATACAAATCACGTAAACTGCAGCTTTTTTTACAGCTTTTCGAAACGTGAATCGTTGATATCACTGTGGCAAACCTTTTTTACCATTTGAAGTGTACTGCCGTTGTGATCTTCTGTTTTCAATCTTTAGTGTAACAAACACTA